TCGGCTCAACTCGTGATCTTCGCCTTGTTCAAATTGTCCCTTTCCTTAATACCGTAAAGGTTCTTCAAATGGAGGGCTTTCCGGTGACATGAACAGTTTTACTGCAAGTATGCACAGCCAATTTTAGGTAAATATTCCAATGAAAATTATTACCCATTTATGAGAACGAAATATCAAAGCTCTGGCTATCCCAGTAACAATGTCACCTAGATAAACAAACAATCGCTTTGGAAGGGGCTCATCATCCAGGACCCACCTTTAGGTGATGTCGAGAAAAACGCGGGAAGACGTCTATTACGACGCTCACGTTAGGATAACGTAACTAGCGTGCTGCAAAATTCACTTAAAAACGGGAAAAATGTCCTTCTCATGAGCTCCGTGACACTTGTTGTAAACGGATTGCTCCCTGGGGAGCACTTACCTGGTTAACATGACGATAAGCTTGACATTATTGTCCCAAATCATCTGCCAGAATAGAACAGCAGTTTGCTGGACAGGTGCCTGTGCTGCAATATACCTCTGAGGAAGATTGTTCGCCTCCGCGACTCTGGCACAGCTGATTGGACAGACACCAGGAATGAAACTGGCATTCACGTAATCGGATAGGGATTGGAGGAGTTGGGAGTCCGCGTTAGAGGTGCGTTCTTCGGGCACGTCCTCAATTGTACAGGCGGAGTGCAGCTTTACCCGGTTAAAGTCATCTGGAGGAAAAACACACACAGTGCACCGTCAGCTGCATTTTATCACGACGGCTTCCCAGGACAGAATAGCGGAATGAAAAAAAACGTGTGGCTTACAGGGAATAACATTTTTGTATTTGTTGCGCGGCCTGTTACAAGGCTCCGTAGCCACATTGGTCGTCCATTGCATCTCAGACTCCCGGCTTTTTGAGTGTTTTTGTAGGTTCTGCAATTGAAAGTAGTGGAGTCAAATATTTGATGTAGGGCTTTAAAGCAAGCCTGAAGGTAAGGCCTTAGACGATACAGGAAGTTAGGGTTACATCAAAGCTTTTCTGTCGAGTGTGTGTATGTGTGTGAAATACTTAGCTTTATTTTGCTTTATCGAACACTGCGCCCAAAACCACCACCAAGTTTTGATTGGTGTGGACAGCCGGTCATCGCACCCACGCATCCCTACGACAGTTTAACCATCGGTTTCGATAATGTCCTCCGTATGTTCCCGAAAGGTTGGTGCAGGAACGCTCACCCTTCTGAGATCCAACGTCTATATGCATATGCAATGCCAGACTTCAGCAAACCACGGTCCCTGCGGCTTGGTAGGCGCTGGCACTTTCTCTCGGTTCTGATTCCCTGTCGGTGCATACATTCATG